ACCAACCTGAGCCTCATAGCTAGACTCTACAACAGTATTTGGTGACTCCTGTCTGCTCCTTTGACAAATCAAATTTCAGGCTTTCCAGCTCAGTTCTCACTGGTGGCTCTGCAGCACTGACACCATAAATCATTCTCTCTTTCTTGAAAGTTCCTAATCCCTAGACTGTGAATCTGCACTGAAATGGTTTTCTTCCTACATTTTTGTCCCTCTTGAGTTTCTTCTTGAAATGTCACACATAAAAAAGGAGAATGTTTTGCAAATGTTTTAAAACAGTCCTAAATTTCCACAAAATACTAATTAACAATACAACCACAGAAAGCCAGATTTTCTAAAAAGGAGAATGAGAAAGGCAATAATCAGAATGAGGGGGTGGACAGAGTCATGAGATCTTTATCAAAAGGAGACAAGAGTTTAAAAAAAAACATAAAATGTCAAGTAACTCAATTAAATAGATGGTTGATATTTATTATTCTTTAATATCTAATCATAATAAAATATTTGCAAAAAATTACTGGAAAGAAAACAAGGGAAATGGTGGCTGTTATATGGCCAAATGACCATTGAAATACAGTGTGGAAAGATGAAAAGAAGACAAATTTTTACCATCAACAGATTCCCTGGGAATCCCAGCTCCAGCTCTTAGTAGTTGTAAGAACTTAGGTGAGTTACTTAACTCTGCCAAACCTCAATTTGCTCACTTCCCAAATAGGATAAGACTATCTGCTTTGAAGAATCAGTGATGGGTTCCCTCAACAAACTATATCTATGGTAAGTGTGCCTCGAATGGGACTGAAGTATTGAGGAATCATTTTCTTCAGAAATTAATAAAAGGGTGGAGGGATAGTCCTGAATACATCACAAAAGAATATAATTTTTTGTAATGTGGTATCATACTTGCCAAATACAGATAGCATTATAGAACTTAAAACTCTAGCTTCATAAAATTTAAGGTGCAGAAAATTCCTTAGTGTCAGACTTATACAACACAGTATCAGTCTTAGATAACCACTTACTTGGTTTGATAAACTTACCTGTAGCAAAAAATCAAAGAGGGCCATCTTGGACCACTCGTGGTGATGTACGTCAGTACAACCCCACTCGGGCTTGGGTACTCGGCCATTCTGCCAGCACTTCTGTTTTAGCAACTGCTGATAAGTTCCCCAGGTGAGCTTAATAGAAGAGTGGGTCTCATTACTTGTTGGAGATAAAGATGAATCCCAGAGGATGACAGGACAAGGGCGGCCATCTACGGAATTCAAAAAACAAACACTCTTTTAGCATGCGAATGCTCAGTGTGTGCCCTTGGACAGTCATGCCTTCTTTCACAGATTCATTCTCTCACCTGTCAAATGCAAGAGTTTAATAGATGATATTTTATGGTCGCTTTGTCTTCTGAGGCTTTAATATTTTATACCTCAAGGATGCTTCCTGATAGAAGTCTTATAAAACCTTAAGTTGTTAGACAATGAAAGAAAAAAATTTTTTTAAACAAGATACTTTATAGAAGTGGCAGGAATTGGCCACTAACCACCAATAACAATGGCCTCTGGTTAATGTGGTTTTATTCCACATCTAAAAGCAGCCACCACAAAAAGAGGAAAGAATCCAGACATTTATAATTGTCTATTCAATGTCTGAATGGAGCTGCTCTCTATTTGTAATAACAACTGTCTGATTTTCTGAAGCCACATTATGATGTCAGGAAGAAAAAGAATTTTTAGAAATCACAAATTTAAAAGTGAAATTGTACGCTTCACGCCAGTCGCTATAATCTCCAAAGGAAGTAAAGAAGCAGCAGGAGAATTTTTCTTTTCTGATAGAAACATCAGCTCTCTTGGTAGTAGATCATTTGCTCACGTATAACTTCACAAAGTGTATTTAAGCAAATGACATGTCTTCAACTGAATGTGTATAGATGATTTCTTTCAAAAATCTGTCACTCGAATTGTTTTTGTCTCACTCTTGACAATTTAGAAATTTTATTGCTGATATGCATGAAGAATCACAAGACTGAGTGAGGGCATCGTAAACAAGGAAGACTATCACGGGCTACACTGAATGACACTTCCAACCTAAAACCAATAACATCATCAAGTCCCCATTTCCCCATTTCTGCCAAATAAAGTCACTGAGAGATGATGTTGAGAAGCTTTTCAGAGATGCTCTTGTAAAAAAAACAAAAAACAAAAAAAACCACTAGGTCACAAAGATCTGAAAAACCCCACTTAACTCATTCTTAACAGGCCTGGACAATAGAAGCCTTTGAAATTATGACTGGAATGTCTAGACACATCACAGGAATTTTTAAAAGCCTTTTTAAATAACCCGAGAGGTTCTCAATATATAACAGTTTTCTTTTTTGTTAAAGACATCTTTATTACATCTTTTGCCTTGCCTTCTTGTACAGTTCTTATCTCTGGTCTTTAAGACAGGAAAGAGTTATCTTCTCTAATCACTCTTGAATTTTGTGTTATGGTGACCTCAATAATTTTAATAGCATTCACTTAATCATTCTAATCACCTGCATTCCAGTTTTCTGCAAAAGAAAAATCTTTCTTCTTTTAGCCTTGCAATTTAGGGCAGGGCATGTGGAAAGTCCTTTAGATTGTGGAAAGCATGCCAAAGTTATTGACATAAATTTAAAGAAAAACAGAGGGGAAAAAAACAAGAATCATAACTAAAGAACTTTATTTTTAACATTAACTCTCTCCTTTTTATTTCCTTTTACTTTATTAAATGATTTGGGGCTTCTGGGGCCGAAAGGGGTATACTCCAAATACTATGCCGATTTAAAAATAATAATAATACATTCCAGGTAAAAGCAGTGGGAGATACATACAGATCAGTGAACCAAATACAAGAAGACACAACACGGCTTTCAAACCCGTGGGTCCTTCAGACTTCTAAAGATAAACACCAGGAAGCTCTATCCGTCAATGTCTTTAGACCAAAGTTATACAGATAGCACTTTGCATTCTCAGAGCCAGGAAGTATTCAAAGGGACTTGAAACCTAATACTGAATTTCAACAACACAAATCAATACAGGAGACAGACAGGCCAGTTTAGTTTCCCCAGCAATTCACACAAGACCAAGAAACAAGGAAACGATCTACATAAACAATTGAAATGGTTAACAACCTTCTGGGCTGTTTTTCCTTTCCTTTAGAAAAAATTGTTTCTTATTTTAAAAGTAACTAAAAGAATTGATTTTAAGAAATATAGAAAAACATTAAAATGTATAGCTAAGAAAACAAAAATCATCTATAATCTCATATCCCAGTAACTGGTTCTGTTATTTGAATATTTACCTGTGGTATTTTTCCATCTCTTTCTTTCTCACCTGAAAATGTAAATTGTTTTTAGAAATTTAAGGGGTATAGCTTACGGCTAGAGCTCAGACTCTGGAATCCAACAGACAGAACTTTTGAATTCTGGTCACATTACTTCTTAGCTTTGTAACATTAGATGAGTTATGCAACCTCTTTTTGCTTTTATCTTATGTAAAATGAGGGTGATAATGCACCTTCCAAATGGACTTTGTTAGGACAAATGGGATCACACACTTAAAGTTCTCAATCTGGTTCCTAACATATATGCATATCCAGAAAGGTTTTGCTATGACTATGATTACTCAGATACATTAGATAATCACAAACTTCATCAGTCTTCAACTGACCTTTATTTGTTTATTGAGCATCTACTATGTGCCAAGCACTGTTCTAGACCTAAATTAATTAATGCTTTTTTTCCCCTTTCATGGAGCTTACATTTCTGAGCCATTTACTTTTGGCCAAGCCCTGTTTTAGACCTAAATTAATTAATGCTTTTTTTCCCCTTTCATGGAGCTTACATTTCCATCAGGAGAAAGAAGCAAAAGTTATGCAAAGAAAATAAACTATTTGGGATCATCTTATATATACGACATCAATTCATCATAATTATTTACTATATATTATATCATGAACATTTTTCTTATAATTAAATGTTTTTAAATACCATCACCTTAATCGTGATCTAGTCCAGTGGTCAGCAAACTTTAAGGGCAGATAGTAAATATTTTAAGCTTTGAGAGCCATACGGTTTCCATCGCAACTGTTCAACTACGCAAGTGCTCAACTCTGTTGTAGCGTGAACACAGTCAAAGACAATATATCAACGAATGGCCTTCACGGTGCCTTAATAAAACCTTATAATAGATACCTGTTTCATAATTTTCAAGTGTCATAGTAATATTATTATTCTCTTGATTTTTTCAACCATTTAAAATTATAGAAACCATTTGCGGCTTACAGGCCATACAAAAAAAGGCTCACAGACTGTAGTGTTTTCGACCCCTATTCTAGTCTATGAGTATATTACATTTCATTTACCATTTTTCTACCTTAGATCATCAAATTTTTTGAATGATACATTTTCTATACTATTATTTAAAAAATGTTCTCCAACTGCCAAAGAGAACTTTCAGTTGAGAGAAATAACTAGTTTTCAATTAATATTATGTGTTTTTCTCCATACCCATCTATGTCCTCTTGGCAAAGTAGTTTGCACTGCTGGAAATCCGTACCTCTAGAAAGGGGCATATCCAAAGAGCAAGAAGAAGGCAGGGCGAGCAGCAATTCTCAGGCTGAGCTATGAGTGCTGCAGTGAGGAGGAGTCCACCTTTCGTAAGATATGGCTGTTAAAAGAATTAAGGGAACTTTGATAGATCTGAAGGGATGACAGAAAAATCGCCTCTGAAAACAGGAAACTGGTTAAAGCAACTTAACCCTGAAATTTTTCAGAGATGAGGCGCATTCATCTCTTTGCATTCAGGTTTGTCAAAATGATGCAGTAATATACTTTCTAGAGAAATCTGAACAGTGAAGAGATAAAATTCTAACTGTCAGAGTGGTGAGAAAGCAGGGTTTAAAAGATATGTGGGTGTTCAAGTGAATTAAAGGTAATACAGCTGTCTATAAACTGCGACTTGCCAGGAAAGCTTATTTTTTCCAAAACGTGAATATTTTCCCTAAATTCTGATGTTTTCCCCAAGTTGTTCTTTATTCAAAAGCACAATGAAGACATTCATTTGAGAAGATAAATGCGGAAATTCGCTAAGAATGAATGCTATACACAATCCCCTCTGCCTGGATTTATGAAATGCCCTTCACTTTGAACACTGGCTGACTGGTTTTGTTGAATTGTAGGTGGATGCTAAACATGTTGGGAGGAGTTATGAATGTCTGTTTCCATTTGTCACTGAGAAAAATAAGTACAAATGTCCTGAGTACTCGTATAAAAAATCCTTCCTATCATTCCAAGACTCCTTGTGAACAAGGTAAAAAGAAAGTGACAGTCCAGCTCAGAGTCCTTCGTTACAAACAACTCTACCAAACCCACTAAAGGAAACAAAAGCCAATCAAAACGTGAGGTTCATATTTGTTACAGGGAACAAATTCTGTCTGGTTCCATAGTAACTGTCCAATGCACTGAAGGAAAACCTTAAGGCTGTACGTTTCTAGATGCTAAAGGCAAATATTATTTTGATGCAAGTCTTGCTGTTGATGATCCCTTAAGTACTATCTGCTCTATTTTTCTACAGTGCCTACCTATCACATTAGAATTTGGGCAATTAAAAGTACTAGACTGAAGTGGAAGAGATGAAAAGGTCTCCTGGCATAGAGTTGCTGAATGTGAACAAGTTAGTCAGTGTGAGGGTTGGCAAAATGGAAATGCAAGATTGTGTAACAGCATTGAGGGAGGAGGAAATCTGAAGGATTAGGTGAAATTTTACTTCCATTCTAGGTTTTAAATATTGTTAATTCATTTATTTAAAAAAAAAAAAAGTATTTACAATTGTCTTTCGATCATCTTCAAAGGAACCTGCCGGTTCCTCCGTTTCAGATATAAAGAATTCAGAGTGAGGCATACCGAAAACGGAGGCCTTACAAGATTCCAGCCCCAGCCAAGGCCCAGGCCTGAGAGTTTAGAGTTTAGAAGAAACCGATAAGTGCACATATGTAGTGATGATCGAATAAATGGCTTGCCAATTTAATGAGTGTTCTGAGGGGAACAAGTGAAGGACTAAAAGACTGAATTCTCAGTGGGAAGCCAAGAAATGAAGAAATGGTATAGCTCAGAGTGTGGTAAAATGCTACAGTTAATAAGGAGAAGAACCTTTGCTGAAAAGGAGCTAACAATATGCAGCAGAAAAAGAAGTCATATTGTTAATTCTATTCCTGATGCCATCACTGGTCTCCACAGGA